TGCCATCTGTTCAATTAGTAATGCTAATATCCAATCTTGAATTTTCAAGGGGTTCAACGCCACTAGGGTCATGGACGTAATATGCAATGAAAAACATAATGCAACTTTAAGTAGGATTTAAAATAAAATTAGTGATTTTAAAACTTCTGGTAATAATGAATTTATACTAATATTCTTAAAAAAATTTTTTTTAATTGGTAAGATTTTAAAGTTTTGTAGGAGTGGTGAAAAAATGTCAACACCTTCATTATGTAAAATGTTTCAAAAACCTATTGGTATGCTTTGAAATGTGTTTAAAAACAGACATAGAAAGATACTACAAAGAAATAGGCTTAAATGTTTACATAATTTGTAGGAGCACAGGTTCATCTAGAAAGAAGCCCTGGTGTCACAATGGTAAAGTAGTTGACTGATAACCGGAAGATCAGTGGTTCAAACTCACTGGGCATTCCATGAAGAAAGATGGCGCATTTTGCTTCAATGAAGATCTCCGCCTTGGCTAGCTAGACCAGTAGAGGCTGGGAAACCTCAGGGACTACAGATCTTAGTAACTCTTTGAGCCTCAAATTAAACTGACCTCTATGGATCAACCTTGAGCCAAACAGACACAAGGAACACAAGAAAGGTGCTCTGCGGCTGTCACACAATCTGGAAGCCCCAGCCTCTTCCCAGGAGAAAAAGAGAAACAAGCTTCCCTTTGACTGCCTTGCAAGCCCTCGGAGGGAGGGTCAGAACAGACTCAGTAGTGGATAAAATGTGAACAGAAACAGTGCTCACTTCTTAGGACAACCAAATCAAACAGGATCAAAGGGTCATATTCACCCAAGGAGAAAGCTGAGAAGGCAGGAGAAGGTGGGACAGAAGGACGAAGGAAAAGGAAACTCACAAGCCGTGAGGAGTGCTGTGGTCATAATGTTGTTGTTGTTGTTGTTGTTATGTGCCGTCAAATCGCCTGCAACTCATGGCAACCCCATGTACAACAGCCCTAAACCCTGCTCTATCCTGTGCCAATCTCACTGTCTCCAACACGCCTACCCGCATTACCCCAGTCACTGAATCAATCCATCTCACAGAGGGTCTTCCTCTCTCGCACTGCCCCTCTGTAAGTATTATAATTAATGCTATAAAATAAAATCTGAATAAATAAATGGAAAACTAAACTGCTCTGTAAACTTTTACTCAAAGTTCAATAAAATGAAATTTTTTTTAAAGAACTTATAATTTGAGGAG